ATGATTTTTATTTGGTTGGGGGGGGTTTTGGGGGGTGGTGGTGGGAAAAGTTGTCTAGTTTTCGCTTTCTCCTGAGCGGCAACATGTATCTAGAATTCTTCGAATTTTTTTTCCAGTCTTCCAGTATCAACCTGCTTTTTCTCCTACAAGTACAATTTTCCCCAAACACAGAGAGAGTTAGAAATTAAAATTTGTAGCTTGAGGGTTTTTTTGGTTGGTTAAGTTTGGGTTTGGAGGTCTTTTTTTAGATAATTGTGGAAATCTTAGAAGGCATCTTATTCTTACTCTCTGAAGTACTGTACGCTTTCACGTCTTGTAACTATTTTACAAAATATAGGCTGGTGTCTGTAATAAGTAAGCAATGGTAAAATTTACTCGTCAAAATATATATATTGTATTTTCTGTATATTATAGCTAATGCTTGGTTGGGACTAGGGAGTTGTAAGCTGCGGAATAGTTAACTGCTGTATTATTATTATAAGTTGACTGTCCTGTAACTGGCAGATCCCTACCTAGTTGGCAAAGATAGAGTATCTTGCTTTACTGAGCATGTATACCATATCCTGCTTTTCTAAAAATATTGTCTAAGTTACTCATTAGAAAAGAAGAAGAGAACGAGGATCAGAGGGTCAAGGATGGACATGATAAAGAAGAGCCAAGGAGAACATCTGGACCATCTGGATACCTTCCCATATTCAGCTCCAAGGACATTGGGCTAATTAAAGCTACTGATGGAAAAGTCCCTGGCAATTGAAATGGGCCTACAACAGAACCAACCAGAACGAAGCCAAGCCCAATCAAGAGCTAACAAGTGACTGTGGGAGGGGGAGTTGAAAAAGTATAAAAGTTGCTGTTTGTTTTTATTGGGCTTGTGGGCCGGTGGGGAGCAGGGGTCTCTCCAGGCCACCCAGCGCGCTGATTTGCTTATCTGCACTTTATATAAATCTCACAATAAATTTTGCTGCTAAATTTTGATTTGGTTTATTTACCTATAACATGTCTACATATACTGTAATGTTTAGTCCAGGAGTATTTTTTATTACTACTTTTGCTATTTCTTTACTGCAACTGTATTTGCATCTTGCCCTAAGATTGTCTATTTACTGAAGCGCAATAATTCATGTTTTCCAAGGCCCTGTTGAAAAATTGGCTAGATTAAATATGTCAGTGTTTGTTCTTCCCAACCAGAAGAATGTTGCTATGATCTGGGAACTCAAGTGTTGGAAAAAACAGAGAAGGATAAAGACCTCTGTATTGGTTGATCAGGACACAAGTGGACTTACCAGTGAAATATCAAATGCAGTGAAATGTCATACACAGAAGGGTTGAGAGATTAATGCTGTCTTTAAGTCACTGTTACATCACTGAGTTTCTGTTCTGGTCATTCTTATTTAGAGAAAGGCAAATTCACAACAAGAGCAGAAAACGCTATGAAGATCATCAGTGAACCAAAATCTTAATTTCAGGGGAGACTGGCAGAGCATGGTTAGTCTAGCATAACAAAGAAGAGGAAGTCACAGTGTTCCATAAATTTAGCTTGAGGGTAGCGAAGGTGTCCCTGCCCATGACAGAGGGGCTGGAACGAGATGATCTTTAGAGTCCCTTCCAACCTAAACCATTCTGTGATTCTAGGAAAGAAGATAGAGAAGAACTATTTGCACTAAGAGACAGAGTTAGTGCAGTCAGTTATAAACAAAATGTCATGGCTTTAAAGCCCATTCTCTTCTAAAGCAGGCTTATTGCCTGCTGCTGGGACACACTTGCACGGTTGCCACTCACCCTGACTCCTTTGGGAAAGCAAACTATTAATACTTCCCAAAGCCATTAGGCTAGAACTTAAGTGGTTGATACCAGATTCATCCATTGCTGAAGTAGTCTTAGCAATGGATGGAAAAGTATATGCTGCCCTCCACAAACTCAGAGCACAGAGGTCTTTTCAGATTTTTAACTACCAAGTTCACAAATGTTCAGAACAATCACCCCATTTCTTAACTCAGGATGCATTTCCTCTGCTGACTGAGCCCTGCTTAAGTGTACCAAGACCTTTAGTCACTCAAGCATGCTGCAACCACCTGAGGGAGCAGCAAACAGCTTGCAGCTTCATGTCAGGGCCTACTTTGAATTTGACACCAAAAGCCTGGTCCCTAGAATAAGAAGGTCTGTGACTGGTTTGAAGCCACAATAGCACCCCACACAAATGCTTTGGCAAACCATTTTGTAGAAAAGTTTCCCTAGAGGTCAGCATAGCAAAGAACATGAAACCAGAAACTGAATTCACAGGAGTACTTCTGCTGCAAGAAATCTATCATCCTCCAAGAGCACTCACTTCTGAACTGCTGCTCTTGGAGCAGCTCCTAATTCTGCAAATAAATTAAAACCATTCATGCCATTCACCACTCAAACTGTGGAATGAAAGCTAACATTTTTATTAGCTTGATACTGCCTGGGAAGGTGATATGATAACCCTAGACCTAAAGTAGAGAATTCTGCCTCAGAAATTATGGGGGTTAACTTTTCAGAGGTGCCAACAGGCTGTCTCACTGGTTTATCTCTGTTTTCCAATAATAAATGCAGCATAATTCCCTTCCCTCCCTTCCTCTTCCCTTTTTTTCCCAAGGTATCTGTTGCAATATCACTGTATAAGTACATGTTAAACTTAAGGAAGTCTACCCAAGAATGTTGCACTACAATACTGACATACACAGACACTCTTTTCTCTCTGTAAGCTCCTAAGTGGTGCCTGAATTAATGGGAAGTTTATATAAACCACATATAAAATTACTTAAATTGTCTAAATTGTCAAGCTTTGTATTTCGAGTAAGAAGGGGGTGGGAGAAACAGATAACTTTGGCAACAGCAAAATACTTCAAAGAATATTAAGCCGTGAATATTATTTAATTTTACAAAGTCAAAATAATTTTTTTTCCATTTGAATTTTCTTTTGTTTAATAAGATTTGTCTAATAAACAGTGTTGATACCAGGGAAGTACACTCCAGAAATGGCCACACAAACAATTCTACCTCTCTTTCCCACTTCTTGTCTGTCCCTACTGAGATACTTCCTTGACACCTGGCGGTACAGTGTCCTCCAAACGCCAGAGCAAAAAGCGGGAAAATATCTTAACTGAAATGGTTGAAAATATCTTCACTGAAATGGCTGACAAGCACTTGAACAGGCTGCCCAGGGTAGTGGTAGAGTCAGCATCCCTGGAGGTATCTCAGACCTGCAGATGATGCACTTAGGCCCATCCCTTAGATGTGGCCTTGGCAGTGCTAAGTTTGCATTTGGACTCCAAAGCCTTAGAGGTCTTTTCCAATATAATTCTATTCCAGCCTGATTCTGTGATTCAGTGGTTCTAGTCTGTCTACATACTGAGTCTCCAAATTTGTGAAGAATTAGGTAGGAAAGAGAAATGCACAGTTGCAAAGGAGTAGCCTCATCCTACAGAGATTTAAACCCATCAGTGACACATAGTAGAACCAAGGCTTACAGGGCTCTGTAATTAATGGATCCAGTGGAAATACAAATCTTTTTAAAGAAAGGCATCACGTCCTGCTTATTAATAAATAAGAAAAGGCTGGTCAGGAAAACCCAGGGTCAGCCAGGCCAACTCCCAGTGGCATAGGAGATGGCTCTAAGGATGCTCAGGTAAGGCCCTGATCCAAGGAGATAAATGATTGGTTGGTTTTTTAACCTTTTCCTCCTGGCAAGAACTTTGTGCAGAGGCTGGCCTGAAATGTCAGGATGTGTTTGCCTCTCCCAGTGGTGTAGACAAGCAGCATTGTGAATAGAGGTGGTGAGCGGACTGGATCCAAGACAAACAGGAGATGCAGGCAGGTGAGACACGAGCAGGACAGAGCGCGGAGTGGGGCCAGCAGTCAGCACGGGACCCTGGACAACACCAGCTGGCAAAAACAACGCTGGGCACTGCCTAAAATACCCCCCGCTGGGCCCTCACTAGCCATCTTGGCTCGGGGCAGAACTTTCCACGATGTCCATTGGTTAAGCTGCTGGTATCCAGGCAGGCTGGCTCTGCCAAGCCAGGAAAACGTAAAAACTCTCTGTTGGAGACTTTCCAGGGGTGCCAGCAAGCAGTCGAAAACATCGCTCTAGGTCGATGAAGACACCCCTGCCAAGAGCTAAAGTCAGTGTTCGCCAGTTTGTTAAGTCACTGGGCTCCGGAGGAGGCTGCTGGTAGCCTGCAAAACTTACACTTGGCACGCACGTACCTAAGCTGATGGAAATAGCTTCCTTAGTGTGAAGTGGTTAGTTGCCCCTTGTGCAATTTTAACAGCTTCAAAGAAGCCTTGCCCAAGGCGCTTAATTGCCCCTTAACACCTATTGTGAATCGGCGGAGCGGCTAATTACCAGTTGTTTATTGCCCCGGTCAATGTAAAAACAAAGTAGCAAGTCAGAGACGGACCAATCTCTTACATGACCACCCCATTGTGCCCATCACCCCCGACCCAGTAAGGCTGTAGAGAGGAAAAACTCTGACTTTAAAACCAAACTGGCAAGAACTTTGTGCAGAGGCCGGCCTGAAATGCCAGGATGTCTTTGCGTCTCCCAGTGGCATAGACAAGCAGCACTGTGAATAGAGAACCTGGGCCGTCATCGCACAAGATTTTAGTGGGCCGACCCACGTGGCCAATTTACAAAGCACCCTTCCCTGTCACACAAACTTAAAAGTAACAAGTACTGCTCTTCTAAAAGAAAAGTGCTTGGACTGACGACTCCAAATGATTATAAAAGCCAGAGGCACGAAGAAATGATGGGAGAGCACGGCCCGTGCAGCCCTTTTCTTCGCCTGATGCCATGTTCCTGAGGCGGTGAAAAGCCTGCTCGGACATCGCCAGGTTCGGGAGGTGTGTTGTCGAGGGCGTTGGCATGGAGCAGTGGGGTGCAACATCAGCGTTCCGTAGATTGTGACCTCTCATCCCCGGCTGCCCGTATCTGGGCACCGGCAGAGCCTGGCTCAGACTCGCTGGCGCCTAGGGTCCTGTCGGGCGTGCCTGGGAGGACCAGAAGGCTGCGAAGTCGTTGGAGGTTGCCATTGGCAGCTTTCAGTGCTCATCCCCGAGCTATTATTGCCCATTTCCCTGGCCCTGCGTGGTTCAGGCAGCCGGGTACTGTGAGGAGTGCTTGCAGCAGCACAGGTAGGCTGTGCGGGAAACTTCCGCTGCCTCCCTGGGACAGCAAGTGACCACTTTGCAGTGTGTCACGCCAGCAAGAGGGAACGGCTCCTGCCCTCAGCTCTCCCCAGCCTGCTGCAACATGGCCGAGGAGGCACCGTGGAACTGCCCCATCTGCCGTGACGCTGAAGGAGAGGTGGCTTCTGTAATGCCCTGTCTCCACGTGTTCTGCCTGGGCTGCATTGTGCGCTGGGCAAAGAAGACGCCCTCGTGCCCCCTTTGCAGGCAGGGTATCCACGCCATCATCTACTCTGTGCGGTCAGAGGAAGACTTTTTGGAGATATTTCTTGAACCCCCCTCGGACCCAGTGGTTGCTGACCAGGAGGATGAGGAGGCGGATGAGGAGCAGATGCCTACTTACGTAGCTGGCTTCCCTGTGGAGCTCTGGGCAAGGTTGTTCCAGGAGTCTCCAGAAATCCTAGAGCCTGTGCTGCCCTGGCTGAACCAGGAGCTGTCGGTGTTGTTCGGTGCCCAGTGGTGGGAAGAGGCTCTGGCAGAGAGCACCATCTTGGCAAATCTGTGCCGCTCTGGACTGGACCAGGAGGCCTTGGTCCGGGAGCTGCAGCCCATCCTGCAAGACCACACCGTGGCTTTTGTGCGCCAGCTCATCAGCGTTGCCGCTGACAGGTGCAATGATGAGATCCGGCGGCAGATGGCCCTCCTGGCCTCCCATACTGATGAGGAGCAGGGCAGCCCCCCAGCCAGGCCTGGACCCTCTGCCTCTCGCGAGAGGACTCCCAGCCCCGGCCTGGCCTTCTCCCGTAGCCCTGCAGTCTCCAGTGCGGAGGAGGACACCAGCACGTTGGAGGTCCCTCTCCATGGAAGTCCTGGACGCTCTCCATCTCCACCTGCCCCTGCAGAGCAGGAGCGGCCCCAGGAAGAGGCAGCAGCAGTAGCAGGTCCCTCTGGCCAGGGCTGCACCCGCAGCTCCTCCACTCCTGGCCAAGACAGGGACTGCTTGCCCGGGGGGCCCCGGCGCCCCCAGAAGAGGAGGGCCTCTGGCCCACAGGACCCTCCCCAGCCCTGCAAGAGGCCGTCCCGCCGTCGGCGGAAGCGACCAAGCCTTAGTTCAAGAAAAAAGAAATAAAATTTTGTTTCTCTGACTCAGTCTCTGGGTGTTGCTTTCTCTCCCTTCTCCCGGTGCCTTCTTCTTTTCCCCTCATGCCCCACCATAGGCGGCAATCACCTGCTTTTGGGCATGGCCACGGGTCCCTGGAACCCCAGGGCCACATGCATGGCACCTTCTCCTGCAGGAAATCCCACTGCAGCTGCACACCCACAGTGCAGTAGGTGCTGAGGGCAGAGTAGGCAGGAGGGACAGCTGGTTTACCAGAAGAACAATGTCCTCGGCTGCACCCAGTTCCTTCTGCTCTGCTCTGGTTTCTCGACAGCTGGTTTACCAGAAGAACAATGTCCTCAGCTGCACCCAGTTCCTTCTGCTCTGCTCTGGTTTCTCGACATCATCCGGGGCAACCTCACTCGTGGGAAGGCTTTCAAGGATGCACACCGAATGGGCAGGGGTGTCCGAGCCAGAGGCAAGTCTTGGAGTAACAGGATTCAGCAGGTGAGAAGGGAAGAAGATAGAGGCTGAATAGGGCTGCTGGATGCAAAGATCCAGAACATCTGGAGCTGCCCAACGTTCTCAGCCCTTCTCTGCTGGGTAGCAGTGGCAAGACCAAGAGGATTTCTTTGGGAGGAGCCCTGCAGAGCTTTCTGTTCCCATCCCCTGCAGAGGCAGGGGTCAGCAGCTGTAAGAAATGGCATGAAGTGATGTTGCCAGGGTTCCCAGTGCTTTGGAGCACCCACTGGTGTCCTACCAGACACAGGAAGGAATTGTCTTCAAGGTCAATTAGATCGGGGACATGTGGCCACTCTCGGAAGCCCCTGAGATGGCTCCAGGTTGAGGCAAAGTAGGGCTTGAGCACCTCCTGGGAGTTGAATCAGCCTGTGGGACAAGCAGGCAGCAGGTCTTGCTCACATGCTCAGGGAATAGCTGATCGCAAGCACTGGGGTCAGAAAGGAATTTTTCCCCAGGCAGATTGACATTGGTCCTCCCCAGAGAATTTTGCCTTCCTCTGCAGCATCAAGCCTGACCACTGGTCTTGGCTTCTTTGGGCTCTTTTGGCTGGACTGCTGTCTTCTGCTCAGGTCTCACGAAGATGGCCTCTCATGTCCTGCAGCTTGGGAGAGAAAGCCTTTTTTTTATCCTACGGTGGGCTGCAATTGTCCCCAGGGGTTTTTTTACCTTCCCCTGAAGCACTGAGCCCACCCCTTTGCCAGGACTCCTTTGGGCCGTTTTGGCCAGGTACTGCTGCTCATGCTCCACAAAGGTAGCCCTTGTACGCCACATCCACAGGGAGAAAGCTTCCTAGACTTCCAGGGTGGGCACCACGGGTGGTGGTACCAGGCTCTCCTGTCCATCTTTCCCAGCTCTCAACACTGCTCTAAATCAGTCCAGCTCAATGGCAAGGGATGGCCATTGATGGTGCTGTGCAGGGTTTAGAAAGAGCTCCATGGCAGCTCCTAATTGTTTCTCCCCAAGCTCTGCCATGTGGCACCAAGGCAGTGCCCGTCTCTGGACATGTATGGGTCTCTAAGAGCATTATTCCCATGGGGATAAGGCACCAGAGCCAGCCCATTGCCAATGCCAGTACGAGCTTGTACTTCTGGGCCATAAATAATTCCTTGTCAACTGTGTTTCCCAGAGAAAGGGGAACCAAGTCATGCTTATTCCTGCCTTCATGCATTTATCAGGGGTTTCTGGCTCTATCATTGTAGGTACCCATTTCCTGTCCCTGACTGAACTCCTGTGACTTCTTGGGCTCACATATCTAATGTCTACCAAAATAAAAGGGTCTTTTCTCTCTCCATGCTTTACCTTTTCTCTCTACATTTTAATTTGTACCTATTGTTTGTGGTGCTCCATTGGTCCTCTTTGGGAAACTTTTGGAAGACCTCCATCTCAAGAAACTGGAGACCAGTACATGCTGGGGAAATTTCTCATAACATTTCTTTCCAGCCCTGCACTAGCAGAAGGCAGTGAATGCTCATAACTATCTCCCAGCCTAGGTACTGGCTCTGTCCCCTTATGGGAAGGAGGCATGGACCTTCTGAAGGGGGTGAGAGCTGTGGATCATCTCAAGACAATGGGTCCATCTGCACAGATTTACAAAAAGCAGTTTTTGACAATTTTCTGTGTTTATCCATTTTTCCAAAGGACAACAAAGCCCCACATCTCTGACAGTAGCAAGGCTCAAAGATCAAGCCCTCAGTCTGATGCAGGATGTCCTCCTCAGCTACATACTAAAACACACGAGCCTGAGAGCAACAGCACTCCCTCAGAGATAAGGTCCAGTTGGCCCAATAGTCTCCAAAGTGGCCAACCAACAATATCTAAAGGAGAGCACCTGAGCAGTGCAAGTCTGCTTCTGTCAGTGTCCTTGGCAGAAATGGGCACAGTGCTGGAGAGCATGGCTCAGGCAGGGACTGATGGCCCCAGGCTGAGCTGGGACAAGCCCCCTGGGCCCTTAGCAGGAGACGGTGGGGGTAGGGGTCTCAGGGGAGGCCGGTCCCAGACACTGAGGCCTGTGAGCACCCCCAGGACCCCATACTGTAATATCAATTATTTAAATGCTTGTGGTTTTAATCTCATTTTCCACATGAAAGGTTCAAGGTCTTCACATAAAAACGAAATATAAGCTAAACGAGACACATTCCGACAGTTTCTTCTGTACTGCATAAAGGTAGTCATGTGACTAGAGGATTAAAAATTATAGAAGAAACCTCATAGCAAGGACTATGCTCTAAGCCATGGTTCTTCTGCCTGCTGTTACTTTAAGCAAACAGAAGCATTTAATGGACCAAGTGCATTGTCCCACTCAGACAAGTGTACTGCCCTAGTGACAACCACATTCTTGGAGTAGGATGCAGTATGCCCCTATCTTTTTTCAACAAAAGGAACAAAAGGAACCAGTATCAGGAAGAGCAACTCTGCTGTGGTCTCTATGGACTTGCTGTCAGTGTAGGACCATGTGGGCTTGCTCATGAAAACCCACACTCTGGGCACCTTGTCTATGAATATGAATTTACTAAATTTGTAGGAAGTCAATGAAAGATGTCCATCTTTCATTGCAGATTTAAATAATGCTGCAAAACCAGAAACAGTGGCAATAACTATTATTATCTACTTTGTCTCACAAACAACAAAAAAATGACTCATCTAACAGCACTGGGGCTACCAAATTCTCCTAGCATCCTTCATGTTGGATGCAGCATAAGTCTGTCAGAAGCAGCTAAGGGCATCTAGCATCTACCTCCTCAAGCCAGTTCTGACACTCACAGGAGTTACAACCACTCACAACAAACTGCTATGCATGGACACAGTACATTATTTTTAACCGCTCCTTTAACACTTCCACAGGCTATTTCAGTAGGTATTTTGGCAGTTATCAGATAAAACAGAAGGATTGCTGTTTGAGACTCATTCTTTAGAGATGACTAGTACTTAAACACATTAGTCTGGTAGCTTTTCAGCCAACAGGTCTGATTCGTTGCACTGAAAAAAAAACAACTCTATCTCATAAGTTTTTCTTCACAAAAGAAGCAAAAAGCAAAAATAACTGTAACAGAAGCATACTAAGTGTGCTGAGCTCAGCTGAAAACAAACACCAATTCATTACTTTCAGGACCTCATCCAATGTCTAAAATATAACAAACTGCTGGTTATCATCATGCCTCCACTCTTAGCCAGGACATCCATGGGGCACAAGCTGTCATATCAGATCCTCTCCTTTGTGCCTGGGATACTGACAAACAATAAGCTTTCACAGCATTAATCAAGAACAAGAAGGTAGAAAATGGACAACTCTAGCCTTCTCCATCCATAAGAAGCACAGAGAGAAGAATAACTGCGCTACTTCAAAATCCCAGATCCTCCTCCAGAACTTCCACGGAAAGAGTACAAGACTGCTGTCATTGCTGCTGTGGTCTATGGGTGAGGCTTCTTCCAATCTTCCTCCAGCCTCTTCTTACTCTGTGCTCTCACAGCACAAGCACAGGAAACAGCATTAACGAGTCTGTAAGCATTTATTGCCTGCTCTCTTTCAGAAACGAATGAGCGTGAGCTCTGTGAGGAAGAAGGCAGAGGACTAGAGAAAACATAGGTCCAACACTACTGCAGGTGCTACCTCACCTGTTACTCAGACAATGAGAAAACACCTGAAAATCAGTACTGATGCTGCCAGGAAGAGGAAACAAAGGCATGCATCTGGTTTCCAGTTTGTCCCACCTTGCTTTTGGCAGCAGGAGCATGCCAGTACTTTGTGCCTAACCCTGGTGTGCAGAGTTTTGGTTCCCACTTCTCATCTTAGCTCCCAAAGCATTGCAAAGACTCCCTGAGCTTTCTTCTGGGTTCTGGCCACTTCCTAATTTCTCCCTTTTGGAGAAATGTGCTTCCACAGCTGCCCACAGATGATGGCTGCCTGCCATCAGGTGGCGCAGAAATAAGCTTCCCCTCTCCTCGCTTTCCTGACATAAATATGGTCAAATCCAAAAAGAAATGGACAACTAGAACAAATTTGATTGTTACCAAGCTCATTAAATGAATAGATATGTATTTCTCAACAGTCTGCACATCAGGAAAAGAGGTTTTAGGAACACTGGCACATTTCCTACCATTCAATTTTAGTAACAAGCTGAAGCTGCTACAAAAATATGCAAGATGTTTCTTTGAGTCACCTCTTAAAAACACACCCAGTCATTTAAGTCACAGCCAAAAACTGGCAGGAGTGAATTTGGAAATGCACAGGATTATGCATCCACATGGCTAGAAGAGCCAACACGTCTGAGCAGTGAGAAAGTTTAGAAATAAAGGTGCGCTCTTCAATTCCCAATTGTCACGTGCTCAGTCTTACCTTCTGATCCAGCTCTGGCACAGCTAAATGGATTATATGCTCTCATGTGACACCAGCTGTCACTCTGCTGCTCCACATTTTGCATTGGACTATAATCAAGCAGAGAACACCTACTCTCTGTCTCTGAAACTACAGAGGCACTGTGAAGCTTGGTGTTCCAAAACAGAACCCAAGATTTTCAGCAAGCCCATTATA